CAGTTGTCTCAGCTTTTGGGCTCTGAATCCCTGGGAGCTAGAGACATGTAAATGTATATGAACTCCAAACTACTGTTGTAGATAAAATAAATACTATTCCCCTCATGTATTTTACCACTATCTTTCACATTTATGTCAAGGCTGTAGTGATTAATACATTAAAATTTCTTACACAGACATTCTAAAATGTAACTTGCAACTTTTTTTTTGTTTGTTTTTCTTTTTTTTTTGTCAAGTATCATGTCATGTTTTGGTAAATGGACCAGAATATGATTATCTCTTTTTATTTTCCTTAAGAATGGTCCTCGTTCTTAAAAATAATTGTAATTATTAACCACTTTCAGAAATTATTCTGGTTATTTGAGATTCAATAAATATTCCATAATCATAATTCAATTATGATTCCATAATTATTCCATAATTCATAAATATTCCATAAATATTCCATAATCATTCTGATTACTTGAGATTCAATAAATACAACCATAATAGAAATTGACAGGGAAGTCATAGAATATTCTGCTGTATCCAAACAATGTCATTTTTGTTTGGTAATTGTTTTTCTTTGCATCAATTATTTCAGTCACTGTGACTATTCCCATAAATTTTTGTACACAGCTGGACATAATTTTGTGGTGCTCATTTCCCTGTTAAAACCTCTATTCAACCCAAAGGACTTCCAACAAGTACTTGAGTGGAGATTCCTCCAGGTAATTGCAATAGAATCTGTATTCCCTTGTGAAAAGACTTAGCTTGATGGATTATAAGAAAAATAACGTTAATCTAAAAACAGAGGGAAAATCTAAATAGAGAGATGAGTTGCAAACACTGCCTGCCTGCCATTTTGACACACCCAAGACATTAGTCATTGGATCTGCATTTTCAGTTAGGTTGTACATAGCAAAGAAAAGTGAGTTTTATCCAAGTCAGTAAGGATATGGGAAATAATTGCTACCAGCTCATCTTTCACCACCAACCCATTTCACAGTCTATTTAATAGCTCTCCAGAAAAGAAATTGAGTAAGAACAAATATTCAACAATTATTTGAATAGGATGACAGTTTTACTTATTTTATTTTATTTTGTTCCTGGAAACTAGAACAAGAGTATTTCTAGTTAGTTAAGTCATTTGGAATGTGCATTCTCCTTCCCTACCTACTTTATTGCTGCCACAACCACCACCACCACCTCCACCCTACATATACATACACCACACACACACACACACACACACACACACACACACACACTTTTGTTTGAAAGTATTTTTGTGGAGCTAATATTTGAAAGTTGTTTTTATCACATGGTATACATTGTTATCTCTACAGTTGTGCTTTTGAAAACCAAGGACAACAGTTATGGACTTTTGTCTTTGGTGAAAATAGCAGAGGTGAATTTGAGACCAAATTTAACTACTTCACCAGGGAGAGGTGTAAGAGGCTCCAAAGTTAGCAAAAATTTTAGAGGACTAAGAGTCAAAAAGCCAGGCCTAAATCCAGCTCAGCTACAGCTGGGACCTAACCTGAAGCCAGTCGCTTTGGTAATCTCAGCCTCTGATTACTGGCACAGGATGAGGGTCTAACAGTGGATGATGTCTGTAGTCTCTTGCAGCTGTTGAATTCATTGCTTCTCTGAGCTGCCTGTCCATTCATTCAAGGTCCTCCACATTGGTATTTTCCCAGGCAAAAGTCAGCCAGGCTCAGCAGCACTCTGGTCCTAAGAAACTGCCTAGGCCTCATCTAAAGAACACAAGTTTAGATCCTTTCTGCATTTGTCTTATCCTGTGATGGAAACCTAATTCAAACACGTATTTTGCCAAAGAAGCATGTGTAGAAAAATACATGTAAAAATGTGAGTAGAATGAGGCTATGTATACAGGCTATATCAAAACTTCTAGCTGATATTCAGTCAATACAGGAAAATACCTGAAATATTGTTGAAAGGAAAATTGAAACAAATGACCCATGCAGTCAAAATAGTTAGCTGGAAAGGTTAAAACAGAACAATAATTACCAAAGTAATTGTACCAAAGTAATAATTACTATAAGATGTTAAATGTTTCCCTGTTCTTAAAAAGAGAGAAAGAGAGAAGTGGTTATTGTGACCAAATTAGTTTGGGACTAGGTGGGTTAAATGAGTTAAGTAGAGTGTTTTTGTTTTTGTTTTTGTTTTTGTTTTTACAGGACCTCTGAATATGGTATGAAGGTTTTCCCAAATTTACTGACCATGGAACCCTTCTTCCCCAAAATATCCCATAAGATCACTGTGGAGATCCTGTAAGATATACTAAGATAAATAAGGGGAAAAGTACATTGACAAAACATGTCAAATTGTTTTCTTATATTCACTAGTGAATTAACATATTATCTTTAAGAAAGGCATATCCAAAGTTGATATCTACTCGAGATTTTATTAAGCTTGGAACGAAATCATTTGTTTCAAACTGACATTTGTCAAATGTCTAGGTTATTCTCAAAATCCCTACTATTATATTCCAATACAAATATTCTATGCATACCTTTATAAAATAGACTTTGATATTTACAGACTGAAGAGCTGAATAGAAATAAGAGAAAAATGATTTTTAAAGTGATCTATGTTTGTCTTCCATGGAATTTTTTCCATCTTTTTAAAAAGAAGTTCCTTGGCCAATTCTGGCATCTCTCGGGAAATTACAAGCCAGGGTAAACCAGGAGCCTGCTATAACACTTCATTCTTATGCATCATTTAAAAGGCATGTACGCTTCGTGTGATTCCAATAACACTAGGCATACTGAGAATGGGGGTTATGTTAGGACCCCATAAATAATGCTTCATCTCATCACTTAGGTTTGACAAAGAAACCTTGTGCAAGAGAGAAGTTACATTTTAGAATAAGGTGTCCTACTTTGTGAATAAGTTGAAGATTTCAAGCCTACAACCACAAAGATGAAGGAGTTGATAAAACTATACCCTTACTTTAAAAAGAAGTGGAGATCGATTTTTTTTTTCAGAAATGATAGCTGAGAGTATGAGAGTTTGATCCATAAGAGTATATAGTACTACTATAAAAATGAGAGAGATGAGGCATACATGTTTGGTCCAAGGACAATATGCCAGAATCAAAGGGAAGATATAACTATGAGGACAGCGCAATGTCAGTCACTAAATCCCCTGGTGTCAGAACTTAGAGACCCATGGTTAAGCACCAAAACATGGAAGCATCCACTAAAGAGCATATAAAAACAAGAATACCTGGGACAGATCTAGAGTACACAAGACAACTGCAGAATTGGGGCTAGTCTTAGCCCCAACAGTAGGAGATATTGATGGCTGATGCCATGACAGATTCATCAACACACTCAGCAATAGGCATTGGCAGCCTAGGCACCAAACACTGTTACTTCTAGAATCATCTCCATAGGGTTGCACTGGCAGCAAAGCTGTTATTTTTCGTACCAGAAGGCAGTAAATAGACTATATAGAGTCAGGATATATATATATATATATATATATATATATATATATATATATATATATATATATATGGCATAGGATACCATTTGGTAGTTAAAAGATTAAATTTGCTGATTGTAGATGATATACACCTTAATAATGCTATAACCATTTAGTAGACATCTAAGGATGGTCTAGAGTTCTCCCACATAGGAGCTGTGTGAGAGAAATAATAACTTGCAAAAATCATAACATTCTATTTTTATCCCCATGCTGGTGAGGCCTGAGAATTAAGAATTACATAAGAAAGAATTGCATAATATTGAAAATGCTTGTATTGGAAGAGTCCTGGCTGGCTGTGGCAGTCTTTGTAAACAATGGAAAATCTCATTTAATTGAATTGGCTTAAGTTTGGTCCATTGTGAGAGGCTGTGAATTTGATAACCTATTAAGGTCATCTCCCTAATCACCACAAATGTCCTAATGAATACTGCATTTTTTTCACCTTACTCCCAAAGATCAGAGCACTTTGGCTTAGTCCTAGTTAAGTTTTGTCATTTCCAAGCTATATATTCTAGAGTGTAAAAATATGCATTTTGATCATAGCCATAATGATGGTCCACTTGAGCATTTTTTAATAACAAACAATTCTTATAAAGGTAGCTCATATTTTTATAGCATGCTAGGTATTTCAAAGTTCCTTCATGTGATCACATTATCCTATAAGAAGAGAGAAGACATTTGGTAGATAAGGAAACAAATTTGTTGAATTGGCCAATGACAAGCAATTACTGAATGACAGCACTGGGTTGAGAACTGCCATCTCTGGACTGCTAGTCTAAGCCAACTCAATGAACCATACCAGACCGCCTCCTCTCCAGCACCTTTTCCCAATCTTTCAGTCAATTCAACAAGCTCAAATGTCATCCAATATCACTGTACCAAAAAATCTAAAACAATGAACTTCATTTAGCTGTATTACCAAGAAGCATTAGACAGTGAAATCTCCCTGGGGGTTTAAATTCTTTTAAAGTAAAAGATGCTGTTTTTCTTTGAGTTTTCAACCTCTGCTTTATTAGTGTCTTTAATGAAATGAATGCCAACACTGGTTTATTTGTTCTCTCCTAGACATTCTTACAAAACACTCAGTGGTGTGTTCTCAAGCTGTAATGCCATTCTTTCCATGAGTTGCACAACCCAACTACCCAGCCAGAAGACAGACAAGGTATCCCCCATAGAGGTCAAGTTACTTTGCCAGTTTATGCCTCCAGCATGAGGAATGACCACATTGTAATAAAAACTAATTCACTACACGATAGAAGTAGACATCAAGGGAAAAATATACTTTCACAATAGTTAGAATGTTTGTTCTTCCCTTGAGGAGGCAAATATTAAGGTTATTTCTGTTGTTGATCAGTCATACAGACACACACATGCATACACACATACACATATCCAATCTACTCCTCATAAAAATAATCTCATTATCCTCAGTCAGGGGAACCTCTATATGAAAATTTTTTCTCCCAAGGTTTATGGAGGATACTACAGCACAGCCAAAAGATTCAAACAACTCCACATGATGTTTTGAAATGTATCCCAATTGTAGGCTGAGTGACCTGCAGGCTGAGCAGACTGCCAAATTTCAAGAGCCTCAGGATCTATTTCAATGATCTCCTAATCCAGAGCTGAGACCTCAGAAACATAATTAACGCTTCTTTTTCTCTCCTCCTTCTGCAGTTTGATGGAGATACCCATCACCAGGCCCCTCTGATTCCATCCCATCAGATATTTGACATACCCTCCAATCTCGCTACAGAACTTCTTGTTAGGAATAGTAACGATCTCCCCATACAGGGGATTGTTGGTATAGAAGTCACTGCCCAGGTGAGTATGGTACTTCTCGGTGAGGACCCTGGCCACCTTCTTCGTGGTTTTGGTGCAAATACAGCCCATGTTGGTGAGTCCCTGGTAACAGAGCTCCATATGACTTGTTTTTGGAGATCAACTCAAATAACTCAATGGGAAATAATTCAACCTAAAGTCAAGAATTACAAGAATGAATAAGATGTCCACCATGCCATGATACCTGGAAATTCCAAAAGTTTGTGTCACATTTTGTTGGTTTAAGAGTTTATATACCCCAATACAAAGGAAACTACACAAATGATATTATTTGTAATTATCTTCTTTTAAATAATGAAATGGACCATGATCCTTCCTTTTCCTTTTGATACTCTCCAGATGAATAAAATGATTCATATTAAATTCATATTAGCTTTGTATTATCACAGATTTTTCTTCTTTTTTGTATCTTCATCCTTGTGACTATACTTTAATATAACTTCATTAAAGGGGTGACTGGGTGGCTCAGTCAATTCAGTGTCAGACTCTTGATTTCTATTCAGGTCACGATCTCAGAATTGTGAGATCAAGCCACACTTCAGGCTCCCTGCTCAGCAGGGAGTCTGCTTCTGTACTTCCTCTCCCATTACCTGCCCACCACCCCATCAGCTCACGTGCTCTCTCTCTCTAAAATAAATAAATAAATATAAATACAAATATATATGTATATATATATATACATATATACATATATATAAAACTTCATTAAATTCAAGGGACAATTTGGGTAATAAGAGCATATACATCCAAAGAGTCCTCATATTGAACTCATCCAAAGAATGCAAGCAATGACATTTTTAAAGCTTTTACAATGGACATGTAAATCACACACAAGACACAAGTCTTTGGTCATCTTCATGATTATTCTTAACAGAATTATCTAAACCAAAATATCCAGGATAATGAGAAACTCTTTTGATTATAATGTTTTAAATCACATTTTATAAGGGAATGTAGAAATATATATATTATATATGCACTGCATACACACACACATACATGCACATATATATATAAAAGAATATAAAAGATTATTTTCAGAAAGCCTTCTCTTTGTTATTTCCTGATCATATAAAAAATACAATTTTATTCTGAATGTAGTAAAACCTCATTAGAATATTGTGAAAATTTTTCAAAACATTTTATATAATACAGAACATTGCAAAAATTCATTAATATAACTTATCCTAATAGCTGGAAAGCTAATGTTTTTAATTCATTCAAAATCTCTCCGCTTTAGTTCCTGAGCTACCTAGACAGAGTTTAGAAGTCCTAAAATTTTAGTACTGGTTTTTCACCCAGTAGCTTTTGAGGTTTTCATGGGATTCAAGTTTGAAGAAAGAAATTGTGCAGATAGAATCTCTTAGAATTGACTTCACAGGCATGTGGTGATCGTACAGCAGAATTTCTGCCTAGGGATTAGGGGGAATATATATTAAAAATATAGCCAAGCTCTAGACAGCAACCATAGTAGAAGGTCTGCAAGCAGAAACAGGAACACCTAAATATCTCTTTTGCTCCCTCTGCTGGTTGGTTTCATAAAATAAAGAATGAGCACTTTGATCTCTTTCCAGAAATGCTGATGCATTTTCATTTTACCAGACTTGCAAAATTTGGGCGTCAAGACTTGTCTATTTGGTTTGTTATGATTGAGTTGTTGAACTTTTGCTTGTCCAGATTATAAATGAGTGTGAAATATTAGGTGGAAATAGATACCATGGAAATGGCAGTTCTATTAGATTAACAGACCAGTGGTTATTGAGCATGACACAAATGGGAATATGACATGCTCATCTAAAAATAAAATGATCTCAAAGAGGGTAAAATCGCATATACAAAACTACTTAATAATAAGCCAAATACGATTTAAAACTAACCTTACGACTTCAGAAAGTGGGAAAATTTCATAAATAAGAGATAAGAGTTGTGTGAAGACTTAAAAATGAGTGATATAGAACACAAGCTAGAAAGTGATAGGAGTGACTGTTGAGAGAACAAGATACACTATCATCAATAATCCAATCTGTGACTTCTCCACCCAAGCACAACCTTCTTCCTATACATACTATTGTAAACAATAGCAACAACAGTATTCTCATACCTGGCATAAAGAAAATATAGACATTCAAAATTAGAACATGAGCAACCTGTCCTCAAAAGTGAATACCCACTATCACTCAGTAATCATAGCTATCTCTGCAGGATAATCAGTCCTTCTCTATCTAGGTTCAGTCACAAGACGTATTGTTATTCTGCTACCTATGGTTCAGACAATAAAGTTAATCACCAATAATACAATCTCTATAAAAATACTAGAGAGAGACTAGGAAGAAAATATATTTGAGACTATTACAGGGTCCTTCCACACCAAAACAAATCTTTCCTTTCATTTAAGGAACCCTAAGTCTATGATCTGATTCAGGTTAGGCAAGTAGGGGAGGGACCATGAATTTCCAATGTAGTGGTCCACTCATGCCACTACCAAACCTAGAGGGTTTTTAAGTAAGACCTTAGTGAGATATCAATGATTTCAGCTCTGGAATCTGAAGGATCAATTAGCCACTTCTGAAGTTTTCTGTATGTTAAACTTTATTATCATCACTCTCACCCTGCCAATTACCATGGGAACCACACCATCTTGCTTTCAGTTGAGTGCTATTTGGCCTCAGTCAACATGGGAGGCCAATGTATGTGGTGTTATTATCCCAGCATAGAGATGATAACCACTTAAGTCTTTTACAAGAATGCTGCACTCCCCTCACTAGTGAATTTCCTAATGTCTAGTGAGGAATGTGTTTCCTATAGCTTCTTGAAGAACAAGCTGGAAGATACCAAATCTCCCTAAATTCTTTGGATTTCTCAGTCTACAAGATACCATCCTCTGGCATTTTAACTTCATTTGGCACATTCCATTGGTGAGTCCAGGTTTTAGGCAATCAGGCAAACAAAATCATTTCTATGTGCTTAACCTAGGATGTTGAATCTATCTACTACTATCTATTGACTTCTACATTTATTGATGCATCTATTCATTTATTCAACAAATATCTATCCAGTTTTCACTGTCAGGTGTCTGACAATATTTTAGGTACTGGAAATATAGCATGAGTAGAGTAAGCAAAACTCCCTGGCCTCCTGGAGTCTACATTTGATGGAGTCTACAATAAACAAATATGTTAAAATACATTGGAAGATGACTAGTTTAGCATGGTAGAAAGAAACAAAGCAGATTAAAGGCAATTGGGGGCATTGTAGTGTGTAAATTTAAGTAGGAGGGATCAGATTAAGCAACTCTGAGAAAATGACATTGAGCAAAGTGAAGAAAGACAAATATCCAAGGGAAGAGCATGCCAGGCAGAGAGCACAGCAAATGCAAAGCTTCAGGCTTGTGTAAGATCAACAAGGTGGCCAGTGGTGTTTAGAACAAGGTGAGCAAGTGGGAGAATGACTGTTAGCATTATATTTTAGATAAACTCATAGTTTGGGAAATGAAAGAGAATATGAGTCCCATTTTCCTTTCTCTCAAAACTCAGTTTCAGATTTGTTAGTAAAGTGTGCCAAAACTTACCATTTTTTTATATTAGTAAATATTTCATGGCAACCAGCTTATCACTAGTTATCTAAAATATATGAGTTAAATTAGTAAGAATAATTCGGAGCTGTTCTTTCCTTCTTACTCAACTCATAACAAGTTTATCAATCATCTATTATGATTCTCTCTAATCACCACAAGCTATGAGGAAATTATCACCATGAGCTGAGTATATATTACTAAGTAGGGATATAAGACTTAAGTGCCATGATCAAGAGTAATTAAGGTTTCTTTTCAAATAAAGCGGTATTTTCAAAGAGCTTGTTAAAAGGTCTGGCAACATCTTCTAACTTGTCAATAAACATATCTATTTTTTATAGTTTGGCTTTTCTATTTTTAATTGGCATGCTTTAAGAGAAACATCCAAGTCATAGCTTTTGAAAGGGGAAATTAATTATTGATTGGCCTCTGGGCAAATAACTTAATTAAAGCTATATGCAGAGTGCCTGGTTAGTTTAAGAAATTGAATATAGAAACTCATTTCTTGTTTAAAAAAATTGTGGTTCACCTCAGTTATTAAAATAGATTCTGTTTTGTGGAGACAATAATATGGAATAAGCATTCATTAATAGTCAATAGCAACATTTTTATGTAGCAAAGCCTCTTGACTAAGCCAGAACTGCAGTCTCATGTTAATGGATGTTGTGATAAAGAGATGACTTTTTCAGTAAGTTTTCCAAAGGTAATCTGCTGGTCTAAAACTAGTCATTTATACAGAGATTAAGTAAATTCATGTGGAAATGATAAAACTTCTTATATTCCATTTCAGTGGAAAGTTTAATTTCCACTTTATTTAATCTAGCATATGTTTGCTACATATTGTATTAAATTATTTACAAACATAATCTGATGTCATCATCATCATAACAATACTATCAGGCAGGTATTATTATCCCCATTTTACAGATGAGGAAACTTTCAAATAACATTTATATTGGTTAATTATTTTTAAAAAATATACCTTAATTACCAACCCTTAATGTATAATATGAATACATTAAATAATTTCAAACCTCCCAAATCTTAAGACTGTAGTTTCACATAGTCCTAAAATTTTCTTACATGCCAAAGAAACCTGTTCTGGTAACCTCATCTCATTCCAGGAAAATTTTATCACTAAAAAATACACTTCCATAAAAGACAATCCACACAAAAACAGTTCTATTCTTTTTACACATGGATAACACTTTCTCTCTAAAACCAAATGGAAAACCACTTTTTAGGTAAAAAAATAATACATTATTTAAAATTTGATCAAAACTTTAATCCTTACATTAAATGCTTTCCATTGTCTCTTTGTGAAATCTTTAACCAGATCTCAGAATAGGACTTGCCTCCTGGTTTAATTATACTGTTTAGAATCTTCAAATTTCCCTCTTGGGTGAATATAAGAGGTATAAAATAAAGGGCAGAACCCTCAGAGCTTCCTCATAGAGGTTTATGGGTCTCCTTTGGTTCCATCTGTAAAGTACTCAGGATAAAAATAGACTAAACCTGATGAATAAGGAGAAGGCAGCTGGGGTTACCAGCTGCACATGAGCCAGAATTAGACAGGTCCTAAAAAACAAGCTCACTATTGTGTTCACAGCAATGTCTCTTATGTATCCAGCACTGCATATGTTTCTTGATTTAAGCTTCCTAAAAGGTCTAAAAATTAGGCAGAGTAAGTACTTCCATCCCCATTCCCCATGAGGATACTGAGGCTCAAAGTGATTTCAGTGACTTGTCTG